GCTTAAACAATAGGAATAAATCAATGCAGTCCATTAACCCGAAGTGAATTGAAGAGCCTCAAACAGGGAAATACCAAGGCACCAGCAGGTTGAGTATGAAAGATTAGTCAGGGATTGGAAAGTAAAGGTGGTAGGATTAGAGTTTGTTAGCATAACTTTTAAACACAGGAGCTAAAGCTCTCTTTGAAGGGAGTTACTCCAATCAGTTAATTAAGCTGATGATGTGGAACGTTTCAATGCAGAGGTGTTGGATGGGAACAAAGGGCAGAGGGATAATTAAAACTGTTTGCCATTAATAAAAAGGCATTAGCCAGCCTCCCCTGGTGTCCATTCAGATACTGTTTTGCCTGCTAAGTGAGCTATTCCCGTCATCGCCATCAATAGAGACGCGTATGAAACGGCCGCATTGATAAAGCAAGAAACAGAAACACTTACTGATGGGGAAACTTCAAAAGCCGGAGCCCTTTGACCCGCCTCGCCCACTCCTATTCATGTCTCCCGTCTCCCCTGCTCAGACTCTCACCCTAAATGGGCTTGGAGGTGGAGAGCAGTAGTGCATAATTACCCCCCTCCAGGGTGACTTTAATACCCCTTTTTGTGTTTTTAATTGCACCCCCCTTCGACCCTCTTTTGATGAACACATCGGGACCATACCACAACCAGTTTGTAATCAAGGTTTAGGCAGTTTGTTGTTGGGGGATAACTCTGTCAGGGATAGTGCAGACAAACACTGCTTGTTCAAATGTGTTATCGATTTAACTGCAATTGAAAGCAACAGCAGGGGGAAAAACACTTAAGCTCCGATCTGGTAAACAGAGTGTGGCAGGCAAACGGGAGATAAGTACTGAGCTTTCTGGAGCATAGCAAAATGATAATTATTGTTCTCCCTCTCCACAAGTTGGCTGTTGCACACTGTTATCAGCACAGCTCACTGGAAGTTTCACAATTATACTAAAGAAGCCCCGTATTGAAATAGTGCTGGTGGTTTATCTGGCCATCAGCAGTAAGGGAATGCAGTCAGGCAGAGATTGGTAAACCGATTTAGGGGGGGAGGGGGGACTAAAAGGGGAGTTGGGGCCAAGAGCTTGGAGCCATACCGTCTATCCTGTTACCAGGGGGTATCAGGAAGACCTATAGCAACAAACAAGCTCACTGACTAATGAGCGACTGGTGCCTGTGCATGGGCCTTGATACTTTGATCGTTAGTCACACATATGGTACCTGTCACTGAAACCCCACCAAATGCTACTTGCTAAATCCAAAGTGCTTTATGAGAAAAGGCAGAATTCACAGAGAAGGATATACGTTAGTTTGACGCCCTGAAGGCTTTTGAGAAGTTATAACTTGTAAGATCTTTGAAAAGATAGTTTGCCTGTTTTTTTTTTCAGCTCTTGAAAGCCTGACCCTACATACTTTCACTGCACTACTTTATTAGGTATGTCTGTTAAAGACAGCTTCCTGAGTTTTAAGCTGAACTTCAGAATGAAGACGGAAGGGAGTTTAAGTGACTCCTAAAATGTTATCGAGGATGGGGGTCAGTAGAGAATAGTGTTGATTGGTATGAGATGGTAGAATGGTAATATGAAAAACTAAAATTGAAAAACTGAAACTATAGCTGTATATGCTCACCAATGTTTAACAGATATTTGTTGGAGAAAAAAAGCATTACATTTTTAAGATAAGACAACTTTTTTGCTTGTAACTTGTAAGAATAAGACAAAAGCATGTCTGAATCCTATCCACATTCCAGGGGAAAACTGGTGCTTTAAAATAATCTGCTACAATATTGGGGAAAACTGGTACTAAGTGAATTTAACAAACTATTTTAAGATTATTTAAGCTTTTTGACATAGAGCATTGTCCTCCAGGAAGCAGTCATCAGAAGATGAGGACCCTGTGTCATATCATTACAGTAGGCTATGATTAGGAATTTCAGGATGCTTACAGTATTCAGGGAGGCTGTGTAAATGTATGTCTATTGAAAATTACCATTTAATCAGGCATTAGAAATATTATTCACATGTTATTGGTGTGCAATGAAGGTATAAAATGATTGATTGAGTAAACTAAGAGCTTTGCAATACTACTCTAATTTATGGAGAGAAAAAATGCAAATGAAATTTTCTTCAGAAAATATTTGCAGCGCCACGGCACCACCAGATGGAGCCTAAATCGAAACAGGAGAATTGCATCCGGGGTATGCAGCCAAAAAATCTGCACCATCTGCATGATGCCATTATCTTTATACGGACATATTTTCTCAGGATTTTTCAGACACCTTGCTTTGTCAATGCCAGGAAGAATTAAGGCTGTTTTAGAAGCAATGGGTTCAGCCTGGTACTTGACAGCTAGAGTGTATAAGTAGTAAAAGATACATAGATAAAACATTGGTAGTTTGTTTTTTCTTCTTTTTTTAGTTTTTGAATATCAAAGAGTACTTGTCTTCATTGCAAAAGCAACAAAACTCTATATTCTGCTTGAAAGCTGTTAAAATATTTAGGTGTGTCAAATCTCATCCCTCCTTTGGGATTCCCTTGATACCTCAGAACTGTAAGAGATGGTAAACTGATCCACCTTTTTGGGGGATGGGGAGGGAGAGTTTCTCTGTGTGGGTTTGGTGGGTGTAAATAGTAGGTAGCTACAGCTTTAGGTTGTTGATAGATGGGAATTAGTGTGAAGTGTGTGCAACTAGTGTGTTACGAGCAGTTAGCTACTGCTCCTGGATGGTGATAGATGGCTTTAGCTAGGAAAGGGCATTAGCTGTGAGCCACCCCCAGAGTTCCAGCTCAATAAGGAGACAAAAACTGAAATACCTTTGGTGGCAGTCCCCTTGGAGATACATTCTTAATATCTCTAAAGGATGGACTCAAGAAGGAAGAAGAATTCTGGATTATTGAGATAAATCATAGTTGAACTCTTGGGTGCAATACTCCTGTTTATTTTTCCACTGTGGATGAGGCTAAAATACATCTTTTTCTGCAAGGAAAAAAAAAGTTTTCATGAAGGCTATCGTAAAGAGGGTGGAGGACTGAAGGGAGGGATTCATGTAAAGGGAGAGAGACAGTCTGACTGTCTCTGTGATTGTAATGAGAGGGAATGTGATGGAGGACTGTTAAAGCCCTTCACCATGTTGCATGTTTGTTAAACTAATGAATGGGTTAAAACATATGTTTCTATCTTGGTTACAACAGGATGGTTTAGTTCATCTCAACTGTGTTCTATACATTAACTGATGATATTACATCCTATATATAAGGGAGAAAGTGTGGTACGTCCCAAATTCTTTGAGAGTAAATACGTGTCTTTATAAACATATTCACTTTTCATTACATATAACTACGTTTGACAGTTTGCTAAATGTGAACTACATTCACTAAAAAGCATAGGACTGCTGCTGTTAACTGTATCAATACCCTTAATATACAAAACTTATAGATGAAAAGCTGTCAATCTTGCAAATTTTAAATGACAATATATATTTAACCTTTTATCTTTTTCTGAATAATCTCAGTGCATAGTTTTGTTAGCAACATTTCTATTGATATTTGTTACAACATTTATGGGCTTGGGTATTTTAAATTTTTAAAAGCACAACTCTTATGCTGGATTCATTTGGTATGGTGAGGACAATCTCCTCCACTTGTAAAGTGGAAATTACCATGGCGACATGTTGGACCTACAGATTATCTTGACCCGCTACTTTGGCAAGATAGTTATGGATATCCTCATTTACTAGCTGCAGGAAGAAGAGGATGCTTCATATGCATCAACTGACTGCTGGGCAGAATCTGATCAAATCAAATGATAATGGTTATTTTAAAATCTACAAGTTTGATGGGCAATATTTCTTATTTTTTATGTATGTAAATGCATTGTATAGTCAATAAACATGACGTGAGAGGACATTGCCAAATTTTATGCTACTTAGGTATTATAATAAAAAATATCCAGCTTTGCAGTGGAGATTATGTGTTTTCATGTTGGTTTTTCATATTTACCATAATTAGGATTCCACTTGAAGCATCATTAGCTGTGAATAAAACCTTTGAATTGCTTAATGTTTGCATCTCCTGTAATGACATTTTATATTGACTTGCATTATATCATACCTATCTACTGTTTAGATTTTAAGGTTTTTTAACAAGATCGCTTAAGTTGTTGGGCTAATGATTTTTAGAAAATGTCCTGTAAAGAATTTTCAGGGTTGTAACAACTTGTGCGTGTTTAATGTAGAAATAAATAACTGGCTGAATTCAGTTTCTGATTGTAGCTTACAGGGCGGATGGGAAACGGTTTTACATAATCTCAATTTGAACTTTTTACTGATAAGATCAGGGCGATTGATTGGCGTTGGCATTTTACAACAAATCTGAAACTCTTCGATGTTATCAGGTTATTATACCTTTCTCATATGAAGGAATTCATAAAGGTATATAGATCAAATTATATATTAACAACGCTAGACTATTGCTATTTAATTAGTTGACTGTATAGTAAATAAATAGTTGTTTACGTAGGATTGCATTTCTCCATTATGCATTCTGATACTCTCTCTGTTTGTGTGTCGCCTTGCTGCTGTCGATACTCGCTTGTCTTGACAGGCTAACTGACTGCTAATGTTTCTTTGTAAGCATCCTTTAACTCCTGGGGGACGTGGGATCGATGTGCATTCTGTGTCAGCTCCTAAAACAGCAGCTATCTCGCTTTCATCTATATTTACGTAAATTGCTCAGCAGATCACTTTTTCTTACTGTTTTCCCTTTAATTCCACTTAAACACACTCATCTTCAAGCTCAGATGTCCCCTCTTTGGTCCACTATCAATCTCTTATTCTCAGTCTTTCCTCTGATTTCCCTGTTGTACATCTGGAATGCAGCCGATCAATATATAATCACAGGTTTTGTGGCTAATATTTATCACCTCTCCAGTGCTAAAATTACGATTATGATCCTGCTGCCACTGGTTTAACCTTTATCGCTTGTTCCCTTCCCCCTCTGCAGGTTCCAGCGTGACGACTATACCGTGAAGGTGAAGCTCAATGACTACCTGGACATTGTGTGCCCCCATTACCCTCAGGGTGAGGATCCACTGGTGAATGCAGAGCGATATGTGCTGTACATGGTGGAGCGAGAAGATTACGCCTCCTGCAAGCCCCAATCATATGACCAGATGCGCTGGGAGTGCAGCCATCCATTTGCCGCTCACGCTCCAGAGAAGTTCTCTGAAAAGTTCCAGCGTTTTACCCCATTCACCTTCGGGAAGGAGTTTCGTCAAGGAGAAAGCTATTATTATATCTGTAAGTGTTAATCATCTTCAGATTGCAATTTGTTTAAGATTTTCTCAAACTTTAAACTTTCACACACAAAAAACACTTGCAGATTGGATAGTTGTTTTTATATTGCATTAATTAAATTAAGTATAAATTGAAAATACCTGCATTCACAGTATTTTCCTTGATATATTTTCTAAAAGTTGTTTCCTTCCATCCATTCTAAGGTGTTGGCAAAACTACTCATTGTACACTAATGTTAACAACTTTAGGTGTAACTTTTTTTTTTTTTTTTACATTAGTTTATATTGTAAACAGACATCGATATATTATCCATTTTACAAGATAACACTCATTTTAATCTGAGGGTGGCCCTGAAAGAGGGTGAAATCAAAGTTAATGTAATTATTCTCAAACTGAAATCTTGCCCTGATAAGAAAGCGTAACCAGAACAATCTCTGTGCACCAGCTGGATTGTAACGTTCAGCTCTGAAGCTTATCGTGTTAAAGCTGTTGGCACAGTTAGTGCAGTGTTTGTCCTGCTAGACTGTGCACGGATCTGGTGCAATTTTCTCACCCTGACCATGGTTGTAATTAGACGAACGCCAGGACTAAACTCACTTTGCCTGGTCACACAGATGGCCTCCCAAGGCTTTGTTGCCAAGAATCTAAGCGTGTTTGTATGCTTACAAGCATGAAGGTGGATTAAGGGGGAGGATAAGTGCATTAGGCTGGATGTTAATGGCTGTTTTGTTGTTTCCCCAACTTGCTTCCTCTGCAGCTAAACCGTTGCACCGCCACGGCAAAGAGTGTCTCAAGCTCCAGGTAGACGTCATTGCAGCTGATGGTGAGTTCACCCGAGTGTCTGATAAAAGGAAAAATAGGTCAGGACAGACCAAAGCAGGAGATTTAATCATGTTTTTCTTTTCACGTAGGCTCCCAGGAGGCCAGAGTAGCCAACAAAGGTACAGGCGGGGGTGGAGTAGGAGCAGGGGGTGGTGCTCATAACCCCTCTAACAGACCTGTTGGTACGTTTGCCAGTCCCTTGCAATACTGTTTTTTCTTTTTTTCAAGAAAGAAAAAAGTTCAGACCTCTTGAAGTTTTCTACATTTAGTTTTTAATATTTTCTACATAAAAAAATCTGAAAAGTGTGGCTTGAATTTTGCGTCCTGCTATAGGGTGCTTCTTTGCACAAGTCTCAAATCTTTAGCAGCACCAAACACACACACACACACACACACACACAAAAAAAAACATAGACTAGTCTCTGACAACTTCTGGCATCTCTGAATAGCTTCTCTTCCTGCAGAAGGAAGATATTCCCTTTATTCCTTATACGGTCAATGCCATGTTGAACTTTTTATTGATCTTTCACAAAAAATGTTTTCTACTCTTTCCCAAAGATTTATAAAGGGCACAACTGACAGACATAGTCTCAACACAATCTCTCACCTGAGCTTGGGATCTCTGCTGCTCCTTCAGAGTTGCTTATTATTTCGCAAATGCTACAGTTTTGCCATAGTCTTACTTTTTTTGAATAGTTTTGGAAAGCGCTCTGGGTGATATTTAGAGGAAGGGATGGTGTTTAAAAATCTAACCATGCCTTATGTTTTTTCTAGAACATATCCTTGACCCTTCCACTGTGTTCTTTAATAGTCATCATTCTATTTTATTAATTCTTTCCAAAGAAAAGCGTAGGTGTAATTATGCTGAAAATGTATTTATCATAATTGGTGTTTTTTTTTTTTTTTAACTATCAGAATAGAAGGCGTTTAATACAAAAAAAGGTCATACATCAAATTTTTTTGGTGGTTTGAAGTATTCCAACATCTTAAATCTACTATTGTAGAATTATGCATTACGTCCATCACATAAAAGTGCAGGAGAGTCCATTAAAGTTTGTGTTTAGAACTTAACAAAATGTCTAAAGTTCAAGGGGTCGGAAAATGTTTTAAAGGCAGCATTCGTCAGGCTGAGTTTGAAAATCATAAACTTAATGTCTCTTCTTTATGCTCCTTCTTCCAGCAGATGACCCTGTTGCAAACCTACCAGATGTCCAAAGTGTCCATTCTGCTGCTGCAGTTACGTCACTCTCAGTCCTCTCATTGCTCGTCTCCTTACTCCTTTTATTACACTGAAAGAAAGAGAAAAAGACTTGTTTTTTCAGGGACTACATTGAAGTCAGTCAGTGGGTTAGAAACCACTGACTTAAAGTAAAAATATTATACCTGGTGCAGGCCACTGGGTGATACTTTCAGAACTCTTAAAGTAACAGATGGACCCTCATTTTGCATTTCAAAGTTTTTTTCTTTTGTTGAATTTTCAAAAAGATAAGTTTTTTTTGTAAAACAAAGCCCTCTTTGAGTTGTATTTGTCTGGAGGGTGCAACAGTAAAACTTTTTGGAGGAAACATTCTTTCTAAAACTATGAAGACGGAGAAGATTTCAACGTGGATAACGAAGAATCAAGAAATGCTAATATGACCATCTAGGGGTTGAATATCTGAACTTGAGCCAAAGATCAGCCCTTTCTACAACTTGTACACTATTCCACCCTTGACTATTGTGTACCGAGTCGTTGTGTTTTTATTGTTACCAAGTGGCGTTAATGTCTCGAGTTATTCCTTCTCTTTAAATGTAGCATTTAAACTCACAGGAGCTGTTCTCTTAACCACAATCCCTCAGCGGACCATGTGCTTACGTGTTGTAGCACTGACAGACTCTTATGCAGTGGCTCCTAGAAAGATTCACATACAGCTCAAATGAAAGTTTTTTTAGATGAATCATTTTTTTAAATGTTTTCTACACAATTCTGTCTTTCTTGACCATTTCTGCCTTTTATATTTTTTTTTATATTTTTATTTTGGAAGAATTTCCAGCATACTTATTTTCCTCTTCCCTATACATCTACAATTCACCTGATTGATACCTTTGTTCAAAGAGATCATTCTATCTTTGAAACCTTTCTGCAATCTATGACTTTATCTAAAGAATTCAAATGTCTAGAAAATGCTAAGATGTTTTTTAAAATTTAGGTTCACCTATTTTATTTTCTGTAGGTAGAATTAGGGTTATTCTTTCTAAATGTGTCTTATTTTCAGTTGAATTGGGATGGAAAAATGCCAAATTATACGTGGAAAACATTTTAAATGATTTATCTTGGTCTGCTTTTAACATTGGGATGTAGACCTTTTTGGAGCCAGTCTAGCTTGAACACTGATGCTGTGTGAAGACACTCCACTACACAATACATACTTTTTACGTGTACATTCTGTGAAGGTAATTTATGACATTTTTTGCAGCTCAGAAGTTTTACTGTACATACCTTGTGCTCACTAAATGTAATGTTTACCGAGGGCGATGAGTGCTGGGGAGCGCGTGTGTGCGTGCATGCTTGTATACGTGTGTTGTATTGAAATTATGAGAATGTACTTGAGCTGTGGGGAGTTTTGATATAAAGGAGAAATGAGACAAAATGTTTTCGATAGCAAAAACACTGAGATGATGCGAATCGAGGAGAGGCTGGACTTCTCCGTTAGTCGGGTTAAGCCACTAAACTGGTTGAACTCTTTGACACGAGGGGCTGGTTGAAAATCTTTCTAGATCTTAAATAAAAAGCAAAAGATTATTACTCATCACATCCCAGCAAAACAGGACACAGCATCGGATGGAGTTGCTAAGCTCATTTTCACCCGACCAGAAACGACAAAGCACAACAGTGTATGACTACCATCTTTTTTTTTTTTTCCCCAACAGAACTCTTGTTGCCTAATTTTTGTACATGTGTAAGTAAGAGCTGTGTATAATATGTCCATATGTGTATATATATAAATATAGATTATATAAAAGACCAGTTTGATAAATGTGAAAGATTTTCATGTGAAATAAAAAAGATATTTTTGGAAAACCAAACCGTTGTTCTTGTGATTATCTTTGGTTGTTATAGCAGAGCTGCTACAGAGATCATATTTGTCTGGATGACTGAATTCTTTCACAGCACTAATTACACTGCCAAATCATCATATTAATACACACACACTGCCAAGTATTAAATCCCAAATCATTTTTTACCTTCAGGCTTTTATTTTAGCACATAATTAAAACATTCATACCATCCACACAATATATTAGAATGCTGTAAATGTCAATCTTTTTAGAAAGTGATCCTTCTGTATTGCAAAAATGTATTATTTATTGAGGCTTGCAGCTAATTAAGATCCAAAGTTCAGATTGTGACATATTAGAATGTAAAATAATACTAGAAAGAAAAGGATTTATGATCTTGTCATGCTGGCCTTAGTAAGCCTGTGCACTTTGTTGGGACTCCCATTTACATTAATTACCATGAATGCAGCCTGGATAGGCAATCAACCCGTGGCTTTGATGAGGTGTAATAAAGAACAGCGTTTCCTGTAACGTGGCTTTCAGCTTGTTTACAGATGTGCCTCATCTAAGTCCACATCACAAAACATCTTAGTCTGTTAATAGGATGTAGGTCAGGGGAGTTTTCTTGCTAAAAGTGCAGTAATACCAAAGTCATTAAAGAAGGTATCAGACTTTTGTCTTTTTTGGCAGGTGATATTTTCTGCTGGCAAATTAAATTAGCGTGTGCATGACTCTTGTTCAAATCCTTGCTCACCGAAGAAGGGTCACATTACACATCAAGCATCTCTCCACCCCTCCTCCAGATTCTTTTTATTGAATTTCTGAATAAATAAAGCTGTTTAAGTATAATTCATTAAGATGCACGTGCCATGTTTTTAAACTTTCTTGCAAGTAATGATATTTCTTGTGTTCTTTTTCATTATCATAATCTATTTTCTCACACAATAAAACATGAGTGTTTATATATATAGTGTTTTATATATATATATAAAAAGCTAAAAGGGATAATCCCAGTATAACCGGTTTATAATTAACCTGACTGCAAGGTTAATTAGTTACACAAAAATGAAGCCATCCAGCCTCTATAAAGGGATGGACGGATGGATGGAGAGGAATCTGGATAGAGGTTTCAGACAAACTTTCATCGACAATGTATAATGGTAAACTTTTCAAAGATGTGTTGTATTATCTCCTTTGTTTGAGAGCTAAAACCTTTTGATGCAGATTAATTGCTCAAACCTCCTGTTTTTCAACCTTCCTGTTTACAAAAAATGGATCCTCAAAGTCAGACTTGTTAAAATCGCACATTTTATGTATTTAGGATGAGGTAATGATACATCATTTGGAAACTTTTTCCACCTTGCATCATTTAAAATAAAGAAAAGAAAAGATACCATAAACTGATTGCATGAGTGAGCTATGAACTAAATCTAAACAAAAATATTCACTTTAAAGTTCTATTATTCTTCAAATGACACCTGCCATCAGTACCAAGGAAAGGATGATCAATTCTCATTGGATTTTTCCAGCCTTTAGATGTAAGAAATGTGCATAGAGGTTAGCTAGAACAAAAAAAAAATCTCATTGTAGAAAGGTATCAAACAAATTATAATTAGTAGCAGTTATACAAAATGCACAACTTCTAGCAACAGGTGCAAAGACCTCATCAATATTACAAAAGGAGCTAAAGGCATTTCTGAGCGACTGGTCAGCTTCATGCTGTGGGGTTGCCTTTTCTTTAGATGAGCTGAGGTTTTTAAGGGGGGTGAAATAATATGTACTTTCAAATATCAGTAAGCTGTATAATTTCTCAGCATCATCATAAAACTATGTAGGATGTATCCAAATAAGAAAATAGACAAGAACAATGAAGTTTTGGGATAACAGCAGTTCAAACCTTAATCTGAAAAATCTTTGGATGGGTGTGGAAAAGAGATGTTCTCATTGTCTCACAATAATGATTCTGGTAGAATCCCACCAGAGAAGAATGGACAGCGAGAGTAAATAAAAAGCTGGACCAATAAAATCCATTTTATTTAACCAGGTTATTAGATTTCTTCTTTTCATTTTGTTTATTTGTACTCTAAGCAGATTTCTCTGTCAGTTTTTAAAAAAACATATTGCAACTCTGTGGTATTACAACCTTTATTGGTTCTTTTATTGTAGATATATAGATATAGATATAGTAGATATGGGTCATTTAAAGGTAACACATTAAACAAATGTCACTCAGGGAATTTAGGGAAGCACACCTGTGCATGGCTGGGGACAGTATATCCATATTACTGCTTTAAGAATAGCTTTTAAATATGCCTGACAGAAACACCAGAGGGACCACAGTATTGGTGCAATCAATTAATAATAGCGTGGAGCAAAAGGAGAATGGCCAAGTGTGTGGGAACTTCTCAGACTGAAGTTATATCTTCCATCTGCGCATGAGAAAAGGCTGGAATGATGTAATGCAAGCTCTGGCGTTTATCTTAAAACACAGCCTTCCTAGTGGGCAGAACATGGCTTTAGACTCTCAGTCTAACACTTGAAAACAGGAACAAATCTCAGAAAGCAATAGTGACACTTAGTTCTTTCCTTGGCTGAGCTCCTCTCACGGTGTTAGTGGAGCACTCGACCTTTTCCGATAACTTTACAAAACCATGAGGAGCAAGCGGATTACCACTCTTCCATAGCATCTGTAAATTGGCCTGGATTACTTCACCATGTAGAGCACTATTTATCAGCATCCAGCCATGGCACATCGCCCTTGGTTGGACTCCTAATGGGCAGTGGAGTAAATATTCATGACAAAGAAGCAACTCTAAAACTACTGCGATTCAACCTAAATGGAAAAAAAATAGCTTTTCTTTAGAATTGATGTGATTTAGAGTTAAAAGGCTCTCAGGAAACCTAATCTGTCCCTCCTTCTGATTAAAGCAGAGAATGGCCAATATCAGAGATAATGGCTCCAACAAACCGATGTGTCAGGAGGCAAATAGGATCAAGAGTAAGGGAGGCTGACAGAGGAAAAGTAACAGAAATGGGGGAAAATACAGAGATCCAAGCAGGGATTACCATAACTTGTAAATGCAAAGATGTGATCCCTCTCTACTTACTCCATATATACTCACACCTCCACATCTCCCAGGGCCAAACACTCTGCTTTTTTTGCAAGCTACATGACAAGTCGTTGTTCTCCTCCCTTTCCCAGGAGAGCTTTATGGCCATGACAGTAAAACCAGCTGCAGCACCAAAATCCTCGGTGCCACAGTTTAACAACTCCCTTGTGTTTTCAAAGAGGTGCCGATAAATTGTAACGGTCAGACAGGCCCTCTTAACCGCCCGACCTCTGGAGGAGGCTCCGCTCAGTAGACGATCATCGGGAGGGAAAGTATTCTTTTTATTTACGAACTGGTTCGGCAGACTGGCCTGTGGAAATGTGGAGAGCGAGTGTGAAATCTTTCAGGGCCGCAGTCAACGTTTGGAGGGCTTTCAGGCTAAGAACATAAGCAGTGTCACACACGTAGGAGACAAGAAGTTATATCATTTCAAAAGGAAAAAAAAATGTTGTATTTTTTACCTATTGAAGAGCATAGAATAAAAAAATTGGGAATGGCCAATACAAAGAAAGTACATCCTTTGCAGTTTTAGATGTTATGAGTATCAGGACATAGAAAATTAAAATCTACTACAGAAAACAGAATAAGCTATACCGGAAAACATTTCTGTGTAAAAGTATTGCAACATTTATATATGATTATTACAGGAAGACTGGAAAACAAGGTTTTTTGCTGTTCAAATGCACTAAAAAAACTGAACAGGCCTGATCAACTCTAGAAAAGCAAAACTTTTGGTCTACTGCCAAAATTGACAAAATATCTTATTTGACAAAATAATATTCAGACTCTTATATATCTTTTTGTGAACAAAATCCTGTCTAATAAAGCAGAATGTTTGGTCAATTACCAATATTGTCAAAGATGTAATTTAAACGTATATTATTCAGACTGCCATTTTTTGTTTTGTGGACACATGACAAACTGGATGTATGTTAGGACAACGAATAAAAGTATGAACCGTCTTAGAGACAGTTTTTACCCAACAGCAATAACAAAACTAAATGCAACCAAAAATAACCATTAATCATCATGGATGATGTGTGTGAGAATGTTCTATTCTTATTTATTA